GTAAATAGGACCCATATGAGTTAAAGTCTATTTCGTTTCACCGCTAGGCACCTTGGAGATAACCTGTGTCCTGCAAAATTGGCCAGCAAATGCTACTAATTAATACAAATAGAATGTAACAGGTCAATTTCATTTTGTAGATCACTCACGTGTTCAGAACTAAACATGTAGCTATTGCAGACCCGGTGGAATCATATGTCGAGCTGAACAATGCCGATCCACCATTCAATTCTTGCTGACGACCAACAATGACGACAAGTTAGCAATGAATTGTGATAATTAATTAGGCACTTAGCAAAATTGGTATTTAATTATTTATTTTAATAGTGAGACAAATATGCATTCAAATAGTAGCTTATTTAATTAGTAGGAGAAAGGGTACGTCTGATATTCCACTAATATTTGCAAGGTTTGACTGAATACACTATCTTCGCTTGGTTCAGAATGTCTAAAGTTAGGAAAAGATTGCGAACATTGCTTCCAACGCCATTATACAAATCTGTACATTAGTCTGTTCATTTTCATGGCATTGAAGGTGACAAATCAAGAGGAGCAATGCTATTTAAAAAAGTATCGAATAAAGAGATGATGGGTTGGTAGATGTATGTTTCTACAAAAGTGTGAAAGCAAGCGACTTCGATGAAGTCGTTAATGCGAACAAATTTTAGCTACCAGCCGAATTTAAAAGGCATTAACGACAACTAGCTAATAAGATAAGTGTAGTGATTAGAAAAATATTTGACAAAAGGAAAGTCTGGAAGGTAAAGCACATACTATTGGAAAAATACACAGGGTGCCGACATAGACACGGGTCTGGTGAACAAGAGCTTGCTTGGATCCTCTTAAGAACCCGTAGCAAAGGAATAGGAATAGTTGAAACTATCTCTGAATGGTGAGTTTTTAGCATATCCAGGTGGTGTTGGAACTTCTAAGCGCCTAGTGGACCCGGACTCATTGAAACAAACGGTTTTTTAAGAGTTACTCTAGCAATTAGGCCATGTGGGATAAAAAAGGGTACTTGATGCCCTTTGCTTAACTCGAATGAACTTGACTTCTGCAAAACCTACATTACTTGCAGCAGCTTCACCTCACAGTGATAGCACCATTCCAATCTATGCAAACAGCTTATTCGGGCCACAAAGGAGGCATTGACAATGGGCAGACACGAGTCCTCCATTGATTTCAGAAAGAGGAAACTGATATATCCTTGTTATGGTACGCTACTTCGCGTAAGTGACCAAGGTGGAACCCATGAAGATAAGGGGCAATAAAATGGTTGTCTCACTTTTCTTCAATCACTGAATTTGTTAACACGGAGTGCCTGAAATGGGGCATAGCGATCAAGGCACTAATTTTGAGAACCAACTCCTTACCAAAGCATGTAAGACCCTCTAAATTTCCATGACACGCCTGACACCTGAACATTCACAGGGTGATGGAGAGGTGAAAGGAACTAATTGCACTCCAACTGGATTGCTGAGGGCTTTCACTAGGCATTTACAAGTATGAGACTGGGATTAATGCCTTGGACGTTGCTTTCTTGCGCATAGGGCTGCAGTCCATTCATCAACTGGCG